GGTGAGGCCTTCATGAGGCTTAGCCTGTTAAGCCTGGAGGAATTTATTGTTCTTGTTCTCTTGGGCCCTGAGGTGCTTAAGACAAGAATTATCATTGTCGTTCCTCTGCCATGGCACGGCATGATTGTACTGTTCCCATAGCATCTAGCAAAGACGCAGTACGAGTGTAGTATCGAAAGGGAACGTACTCGGTTACAAACGTAACCTCGGTTCCCTGAGAAGGTGAACGAGTACTGCGTTGCTAGCCGTGCCATGCAGCTGCACGACTCAGTCGTCGCTTCAGTCGAAGTAACCTGAATCCTATGGCGAGGCGGCCGCTTATATAGCCAGATGACTCCGCCCATTCTGGCGGGCTTCGCTGCCATAGGTTTGTGCAGCACCGCTGCCGAGCCATTGGTTCATTTTTTAAAACATACTGCACAAACCAATGGCCGTGCAGTTTCACTGCGTGATTGAAAAAGGCTTCAGTTCAGGAGAAAAAATGACTTTTTCCCATAGCGTCTAGCAAAGACGCAGTACTCGGGGAACCGAGGTTACATTTGTAACCGAGTACGTTATCTACTCAGATAATGAACGTATGTGAACATTATATAGCCTATTGCCTTATAGGTAACATATGGCAATTTCATTCTTTATATTGGGCAATATGTGTCATATATAACATTTCTATATGCAATGACTTATAGTTCCTCTGCAACATTACATAAATAATGGAAAAATAGAATTAGTAAATATTGTTTTAGATAGTAGATAGAACTGGTAACAACCTTTGGATCATGTTGTCTGTCCTGGTGCCAGTAGTGGTGAGTAAACTCGCATGCAGAGGGATTATTTCATCATATCATGTCAGGCAGATCTAATACCCACGTCCTTAACACATCTTAACTGGTTAAACTGCCGTGGCGTCAGTGGGTTAGGAAACTGGGCTTATGTCTGATGCCAAGCACATCCCCATGACTGTTGCACTGCCCAGACCTGGACTGGTCAAATCTAGGGCGCACGGTCTCAGCTATTAAACATATTATTTATCACCAGTCAAGTAGCCAGCCAAAGCCTGCGAAAGAGTTTGAAGATGGGTGTTCTTTGAGTTTTTGATTGTTAAGGGATGACTGTTATTCTTTTTCATATGAGCTCTGCGGCTTGGCTTGAGAGAGGTCAAATCTGATTTATGTAATCAGTTGTATTCACTCATTTAACAGGATTATCTAATGTTGACATTGTGATTTCAAAATTACTAAAGACACATTTTACATGTGTAGCGTCTGCGTAGAATCATGCATGATTTTTGGGGCTTTATGGCTTAAGATACAGACAAATTACTATTTAATTTGTTGTTTTACATCAATAAAACCTAGTATATTTCTTCAACATGTTGCAACACTTCCATCTTCCAACACTTATAATGTATTTTAGAGTAGAAGAAACAACACAAAAGCAATTAAGTTTAGCATGGGAGGATATCCAGGTAAGGATTACATAAAGCAGTTTTATGCTTTAGCTTCCCTTTTCCAGGACGTTACAGCAAAACCACAATCAAGTGGGCAGCGTAATCCTGATTACAATCTCTCTTCATTTCCTTTAACATTCAAACTCATGCACAGATATTGAAGGATTGGTTCTGAAATGAATGTATGAAGTGCAACGTACAGTATAAATTAAACTGGTTCATCACAAAACTCGTTTGGACATTTAAAAATGAAACTAAATCAATTCTGCTGTGGTGTGTGACTCAACAGTTTGTTTTCATTTTTCCTCATTGTTCTATGTACATTTCTTATTACTTTGATAATTATATTTGGTTGCTTTGCATATTTTGTCCTTTTTTTCATGAGCATGTCATTTTAAAGTCAAAATTAAAATCCTTGCAAAAATTCAATGCAATGCACCTCAAGCATCTAATACAGTATGTAATAAAGGCAAGGACAAAGATTCACCACATTATGTATGGCAATGAATGTAGTGAGTGATTTCCGGAAACACTTTGTACTTTGTATAGGTGGACTGATAAAAAAAAAAAAAAAAAAAAAAGCAAATCTGCCTTTAGAAAAGTAGGTAGAAGTAATCAAATATTACATTCTGTAAAATGAATATATCTGTGACAATGTATGAGATATCCAGACACAGATAAACCTCAGGATTCCATATTACATAAACATCCACCACTGTTCTTTGATATTACGAGCCTTAATCCAGTCCTGGCATTTCCTGTTCAACCGCACCTCAGAGAGAGAAAAAAAGTAATTTCCTTCTTTTTCCTATATTTCCAACCTCATCCGTTCATATAAAATGGCACTGGGGAAAAAATCCTAAAGTTAACTATGGGCTATATAGCACAAGCAAAACATGCTGTGAACAAGGTTCAAAGTATTGAATGTGATTTTTTTACACTTTTGGCAAAATTACAGCTTAACTGGAAATGACAGCCAAAAATATTCTGCTCAGATGTGATATTTACTTTGTTTATGTCTTTCAAACATCACATCTCATATTTCATCTCAAGCTCTTTACAGACACTGTTGTCTCCTTGATAAACAAGTGCACTAACTCTCAAAAAGAAAAAAAAAATTACTGAAGCAAAATTACTGGTTGTGACTCCACAACAGTGGGACAGCTGCAAATTTAGAAAAGTTGATATAAATTATGCCACAAATGTGGGATAGCTGTATACATTGATATTTAACATTGAATTGGTTTTAGTTTATTTCCAATTGTCATACCTTAATTCACATTTTCCTGATGGATTTTCATAGTTTGTTTAGTTTAAGTGAAAATTCTGGCTCTGAAGAAGAGTAAAACAAAATCTTTATATAAAAGGAATTTCAGTAACACTTTATTTTAAGGACCAATTCTCACTATTAATTAGTTGCTTATTAGCATGCATATTGCTAGCATATTGGCAGTTTATTCGTATTTATAAAGCACATATTAATGCCTTATTCTGCATGACCATATTCTATATCCCTTAATCCTACCCCATACCTAAACTTAACAACTACCTAACTAACTATTAAAATTAGGAATTTATTGAGGGAAAACTCTTAGTTAATAGTGAATATGTGTTCCCTAATCTAAAGTGTTACTGGAATTTCATTGTATGAAAAAGAACAGCATGGACATTTTGCTAAATATCTAATTTTGTGTTCCATGGAAGACATGAGGGTGAGTAAATAACAAATGTCTAAGCATTTAATAAAAATGCAATGCTAATCTATTTATTCTCTTGTGAATTCTTGAATAATAAATAATAAATTAAAATGTATAACATAAGCCCTTGTGGGTTTGGTCTAGAGTTCATTTATGCTGACATCTGTCAGCCCTTAAACATATTTTCCACAGCCGTTTCCCTATATTTGTATGAAATATCCTGCATCAGTCATCCAGCTGTCAAATTGGACAGGATTTGCTTTATGTGCTCACACACACATATAAGATGTATGTGTGTGTGTACAAAGCAACAGTTCTTGCATGCACAAACAGATGTAAGAGCTTCTTCACAGCATCAAAGATGTTACGGATTTATCTTTATCTTTTTTTCTGTAAACCATTGTTGAAAAATCTTTTGCAGTTCATTGAAAGGCCGTCTTGAAAATGAGGGAAGTTTCCTCTGAAATGCTGGCAAACAGCCCTGCATCAGATTGAAGAATAATCTGATTGATAATCTGTTTTATTGCTATGCTCACAAAAATAAGCTACGGGTTTAGATGGAAGAAGAAAACCAAGGTCTAACATACAATTTGCCCTTTGAAATGATAACAGTGAAAAGGATGGGGGAAGGGAATCGTGGGTCAGGAGGGGGGTCGCATGGTGAGTTAGAGCAAACCATAAGAGCCTGATAGCATTAGAGCTAGGCATGAATTAGAGCATCTGTCATTTGTGAAATCTCTGCGCTCATCCAGTTGGTCTATCAAGGAGAAGAAAGGACAGATCTGCAAAACCCAATAATCCTGAAGATACCAATTCCAAAAAGTTTGAATGTCTGAAGCAAGGACCTCAAAGCCAGGATTATTTGTCTCCTCGTGCCTCCTGGAGCACTATGGGTATACAGCATGCTCAGAGAACATCCCTGGCTCTCACGCTCAACTACGTGGCGTTCGCCTTGGCCGTTTCGGCCGTCACCACTAGCTACTGGTGTGAGGGGACCAGGAAGGTGGTAAAGCCTTTCTGCATGGGGTCAGTGAAAGTCAAGCAGACATACTGCATCCGCTTTAACAGCTCCAACATCAACGACACACGGCTGGTGCAGTACATCTACGAAACCGGAGAGGAGAAGTTCCTCATGAGGAAGTTCCATGCGGGGATCTGGTTCTCCTGTGAACAAACCGTGGACTTAATAGGTAAGACAACATCACTGGCTCTTTGTTATGGATGGACTGCCTGCATAAGGCTGTAATTTAGGAGAATAAATAGTAGGAGGTTCCACTAGTGACTGGTAAAAGTGAAAGCATGTTTGGACAGTGTTCCTTTTGTCAAAAGGTAACAGACAGTATCTCAACAAAGACTGACTTCCAAATGCCAAATATTCAGTCAGTACTAGAACATTTGGAGTAGTTCATTTTCCAGCTCTGGGACTGGACTCAGGAGAAATTAATGTGGTAACGCTTTACAATAAGGTTGTGTTAATTAAATTGTTTAGGGATTTCTTTCTTCTGTTGAACACAAAAGAAGATATTTTGAAGAATGTGGGTAACCAAACAATTGTTGGTCACTATTGCCTTCCATAGCAAGGACAAATGCTATGGAAGTCAATGGGGACCAGAAACTCTTTGGTTACCCACATTTTTCAGAATATCTTCTTTTGTGTTCAGCAGAAGTAAGAAATTCATTAATTTTTTCATTTTTGGGTGAACGATTCTTTTAACTAACAACAAACAAGATTTGTAAACAGCATTAGTTAATCTTTGTTAATGTCAACTTGTACATAATACTAATGCATTTCTGAACATAGCTTACATTGTTAACATTAGTTAATGTATTAGTTCAGTGGTTCTCAGTTCCAGTCCTTGTGTACCACCGCTGTGCAAATTTTGTATGTTTCTCTTATCACTTTAGACGTTTGTTCTATTTGACCGTAAGTGCCCTGCGAAGTGGACATCACAGGATATTAGTATAACTTACTGTAACATCTCTGAATACGTTCCCTGAAAAAGGAAGTAGCTGACACTATGGGAACACTGCCAGGTGTGACAACTGTCTGAAGCCCATGTAAAAAGACACTAATTTATTCTCCTCAATTTTTGATGAAGGAAGAAATCAGTAACCCTTTAGGAATGTTAAAACCATAAACAGAACGAGCTTAAGAGTCAGAAGCCTCTCAGGGACTGACTCCAACAGTTCAAACCATGAGTAGTGAGCCCTTCTAAAACTACAGATAGTTCCAAAAAGGAACACAAACATGCCAGAAAAGTCTCAACCATCTTGTCCCACACATAAAATGGGAGTCAAAACACTGAACCAGCAGGGCAGTGAACTGGGTCCAAATTGTGATTCCTACACCAAGAGTCAAATAGCTTCAATTTGAGAGCACAAAGCCTCCTAGTGGAGGGAGCCCGCTTTCCAAAAATGGTCACTTTCAGCCCAGGTGAAAGACCAATGCCAACATCTCTATCTTTATGTGCCATAAGAAATGCCCACTGTTCCAGACTTTGATGGTTGGGAAGCATTAGTAGACCATACTCCAGCCTACTAGTGAGGCATTGACTCGCGGCAAAGGACTTTGTCTAGAGAAACACTGCAAATCAGAAACTGGCGTTGTGTCCATATGAAGAGGGTCTGATAGCATCTGCATGTGACCCTCACACACTGAGAAAGCCAACGGGGATGAACCCCCTGAGTTTCTTCTGTGAAACAGGCCCAGCGGAATCACTGGTGAAGCAGTTTTGAGACCCAAAAATCTGCAAATCAGACTAACATTGACGTCCTGCCCTATTCTGAAATGATTCAGAGAGACAGGTACGAAATGACTGAACACGAGCAGGAGTCAGCCATGTCTGCATCGAGCTTAAGGCTAATACTGTCCCTAAAAACTTGGTCTGCTGGCTCTGCAGAAGAACAGTCCTCCAGGGATCCATCCTCAACCCCAGACCTTGACACCAACAGAATCAACCCACAGAATCGTGACACCAAGTCCCCGGACTGTGCTACAGTTAGTCAGTCGAAGAGGAAGGTCTGCACACAAATACTCTGGAGTCCAATGGAGCCAAAGTAACATCCATGCACCTTGTAATTGTGCAAGACACTAAGGCTAGGCTGAAAGGGAGCAGGAAGAATTGGTAAGCTTTACCCCTAAAAGCAAACCTGAGGAACTTCTTGCATCTCTGATTGATCTGAATATGGAAGTAAACACCCTTCAGATCTATAATGACAAACCAATTTCCCAGCCAAATCTGCGTCGTGATATACTCCTCCATTAGCATCCTCAAACTGCAATTCTGAAGAATGTAGTTCAGTAGATTTAAATCAAAGAAAGGCAAAGACCCCCATATACTTTTTTGACACCTGAACATATAAAGCCTTTGAGAAGGTGACACTCGTTCCTCTCTCCAAAGAGGAATAACTTCCTGCCCCAAAATGCAAGCCTCCCAAATGCCAATAATTGTGGTGAGCACTCTAATAAAATGAAGCAGACTGTGCCGAAATTGGAAGTCATTCCCGTTTTATGTTTTGAAGAACCTATAATGACATAGTTGACAGATGTCTTCACACTGGAGACAGAGAGAGAAGTCAGTTGCTCTTACTGACCATGTGCCTGCTTAAACCTACAGTACCTTCTTGAGGACAGAGTCTGGAAGGGTTTAAAATAGTTTTGTGCCTCTACATAAATTAGACCTTCCTGAACTGGGTACTAAAGACTAGAGACTGAGAGCAGGGCAGTCAATTCTACAGGAAGGGCTGTCTGAGTCAGCAAAAAGGATACAGTGTGAACCATGAGGACGCCACTCACTGTGGACATAATGTCATGGATGTGTGACATGAGGCACAATTCCTGAACTCCAAAAGCCTTGTCGTATGGAGTAAACAAGAGTACATTGTCATATGAAGTATAGTATAGATGATACTATCGTCTATCAGCACAACTCTAATGAAGTATATGAACAGCCTGCTGTTGTCTGAGAACCATGTTGTGATGGAAGGGTGCTTGCCCTCTCTTTCCTTACTAACAGGTCAGCTAAAAAGCAGTAGCTATAAGTAATGCGAACCAAATGTTTGGTAGCACAAAGCACCAAATTATTCGCATACGCCAGTCTGCCCACTGCCAAACTCCTCAGAGTCTGAAGTGTCTCAAATGCACGGCTGAGATGCTATGATAAAGTTTCTATATGGGGTTCAGACAATCGTCACACCTGAGGGTGTTCCCATAGCATCCGTTACCAATGCAGCATTAAGTGAACCTATGAAAGGGAATATTAGTTTAAGTATAATGAACAAGTATGAATTAACATTGAACATTGGCATTGAACATTGAACATTAGTTATAAATTAACATTAACATTTAATAAATTATGTAAATGTTTTTGTTCATTGTTACTGAATTTGAATTCCTTTTTGGACATTTGGAGACAGTAGCCAATGTTTACCAGAACTTTCTCTCTTTATAGGATTTAACTGTAGAAGCTTTTTAGAGATCACACCAGATCATGAAAGAGGTGGGTAAGTAACAAGTGTTACATGTTATTCATATTAACAATAAGCAATTGTAATATACAGTATCGTTAACAAATTATCTGCTATTATCTTCAATTACTGATTATTGATCAAACCTTCAATTCTCAGTATTTACACCAGAAAGAAAGAAACATGTTTAGAGCAGACCAAAAAGCATAATGGTAATTAAAAACACCAGACACCTTTCTGGTGGTAAATTGAAACCAAAACATATACTGTATATTTCAATGTCTTTTTTTTTTTTTTTTTTTAGCACAAAACACAAAATTTTATTTTCATTGCAACATGTTACACATTAGGGATGTGTAAAACTACAGATTTTCAAGGATTACTTGTCACTGGGTTGCCTGAATTACTAGTTGGCTCATCGGCCTTAACTAGAGGTGCTGTGTTTTTTTATTGCTATTAAAATACATATTGTCTAAAATGTATACAATAGAGGAGAGGAGCATGTAAAGAGACAAAAAGATCACTTGTTTAATATTTACATCTGATAAACATAAAAATATAAATAACAAATACTGTATTACAGCTGTCCATTTTGGCACTTTATGGTTTGTAATAGTCATCTTGTATTGAAAGCTTCTTATGTTTACAATATATGCAGAAGGAATGTAAATAATGTATAAATGATTTATAAATGTAAGCACTAATGTAAAAAACAATAGGACAATGATGTTGCAGGTGATTAAAAAAGAGATATTCCCATTCGTACCAGTTCTCTCTCTCTTTCTCTCTCTCTCTCTCTCTCTCTCTCTCTCAGGAGTGCTCTGGCTGTGTATTGTGGCTGAGTGTCTGTACATTGCTCTGCTGTTCACTGGTGGAGCTTTGATGGTGATAGAGATGTGCCCATGCTTTAACTTGATAAACAGACTCAAGCTCAATGCCTTTGCAGCTCTGTGCACTGCTCTCTCAGGTAACTAATTTCTATTAATTAAAAAAGAGATGAGCGAAGTTGGGGTGGGACACATTGACTGGCTTGCTTGCTTATTTATTTATAGTTAATTGCCTTTTGTTTAAGATAATCCTGTTTTAAAATTGATATATTTGCTATAAAGTTTATTTTGTCGACTTGTAGGAGTACAATATGATATAACATTATCTCAGCCACATGCTCTACATTACTAGATTGAGCATCCTGCTCATGTTCTATTCTATTTCAAGCAGCCATATAATTAACACTTTTGTAGCATTTTCCATAGCACTTTCTCTGACCCTAAGACAGTAGAACCTTTGTAGGCAGCAGACTTACCCTACTTCCCTTACTTTACTTACTCTTATTCCAATACTGTATGAGTCTCCTTCTTCTGCTGAACACACACACAAAAAAATATATTTTGAAAAATGTTGGTAACAAAACAGTTGACTTTAGCCATTGACTTTCATATAATTTTTATCCATACTATAGAGGTCAATAGCTACCATCAACTGTTTCTTTAAAATATCTTCTTTTGTGCTCGACAGAGGAAAGAAACTCATACAGGTTTGGAAAAACTTGAGGGTGAGTAAATGATGACAGAATTTTCATATTTAGGTGAACTATGACTATCCTTTTAATGTGCTCATGGACTTGACTTCACAGTGTTTTCAACTTACACTATACATTGAAAAAGTTGAGCAATGATGGGTCAGCGACGCTGCACAGATCAACAAAGCTATGCTGTTCATCCCTGCAGTGTCGCACTAGCCCTGAAAGACAAGGTTGGAAAAAGTGTCTCCCTGAGTCTGTATTTTGCGTTATTTATTAAATAATTTATTCATTTGTTTGTTTGATGTTACACAGCAGAAAAAGACTCAGAAAGGAATCCTGCACTTCAGGGCTGCTTACAACAAAAAATCATTGTGCCCACTACTAGCCAAAATTGGAAGTTAAACCTTTTTTTGTCAGCTCAAAAAAAAAAAGAAAAAGAAAAATGTAGAGGGGGAAAGATTTTTTCAAAATGTTTTAAAAATCACTGTAAAATGTTGATGTCTTGATGTCCAGTAAAAATATGTAAACATCCTTGAAACATTTTACTTAAGTCAAAATTTCATAAAATATCAAAATACTATATCAAGAACCTATATCTTGAATTATAAGGGAGTTGTTTTTGTTTTGTTTTTTGTTTTGTTTTGTTTTGTTTTGTTTTGTTACAACAACAACAACAATTCAAACAAAACAGTTTACCAAGAAAAATAATCTAAATTTAAGCATAAATATTCTCTGGGGGGAAAAGTCATAATATATTACACTTTTTTTTGTGAGTAAAGCAAATATTTCAATATTTTTACTGAAAAACAAGCAAAGAATAAAGAAAAATGAAATTATTAAGAAAAAGATGTTTTGCAGTGAATGTGTGTGGGGGGTGGGCGAGAGGTTGTTCTGGACAGGAAACTGCCTGTCTGCTCTGGTCTGAATAAGCGATCTGTCCCAACAGCGTGGGGATTTGGTGGTTTGTGCTGTAATTGGATTGGTGAGGGGGTTAGTGGTTTTGGTACATGATATGGCCAGCGGAGACCATCCTCCCTCCCCCTATATTTGCACTAATCCTGATGATTGTAGGAATGCTCACCAACACACTTGATGCACAGCAGCACCTGCCATATAATGCATATGCATGTGCATGGCAGCAGCGTGGGGGCTTCTGAAATATTCGCTTTTGGGTTTTTTAATCTAATATAAATTCCTGTTTCATTTAATGTTTACTTGGTTTCAACTTATAATCAACAGAACATGTGTGTGTCACATTAAAAAGTTTTACTACCTTCTTTTCAGACCATTAGTCGATGCTACCCCAGAAATGAGAAGAATTATTATGATGTAATAAAATGATTGGTACAATAATGTATTAATACTACACAATAATGTAATACAAAAAATGGTACTGGTGCAATAATGTAATAATAATAAATTTTTTGCTTCTTATAAAGCTAGTTTTGCAACTGGACAGAGTTTGTATAGTCATTATACTGAAACTTTTATCGACATTAGGGTTACCCTAAGCCAAAAATGACAACTTATACACTGTAATTTTTCTGTGCCCCAGGCCTTTTCGGGATGGTTGCACATATGATGTTCACCACGTCATTCCAGCTGGCTGTCCAGATGGGTCCAGAAGACTGGAGACCTAAGACATGGGACTATAGCTGGTCCTATCTGTGAGTCTCACAAATGACACATCACAAATAAGTTTGTCAGCAGCCATTCATTATTAATAGCCAAGCCAGATGATCAAGCAGGATAATTGATCTTAGACTTGAAAATGTCTTTTGCACAAACATCAAAATTTTGGGAAGCTAATTTGTCCTGTGGTGTGAAAAATTCAGACTAATTGTTTCTGAATTATTATTAAGATGATCAGATTATATATATATATATATATATATATAATTTTGTTTTTTTGATAACTATCAAAAAACAGGGGCAATTTATTTGTGTATGTTTTTGTTTTTTTAATTATTGTGGGTTCAATATACTATTATTATAATTCATATTTATTATGATGTTTGCAGACCAAACTGACTGGATTTAATACAATTCATCAAACATCTACTATGAAAAATAGTAACCACTGCAAAAAAGTAATTGAATGAATGAATGAATGAATACAACTGTAACTTAACACATATTTCTAACATTTTCTAACTGTATGTAATATTTAAATTTTCACAAACTGAATATATTGTATACAGTAATTAAATTTTTTGTATATTTATTTTAGATTTTTTAAAATCTTGTTAGTTAATTGTTTTTATTGTTTTATTTATTCATATCGGGGTGCACTGTCACCCACGTGGTATAGTTAAGATGTGTGTCTCTCTCTCTCTGTGTGTGTGTGTGTGTGTGTGTGTGTGTGTGCGCGCGTTTTTGTGACAAATAAGGACATAAATTTGTATAATGACAAGGGTATGACATAGGTATTACAAGGAGAAGGTGATTACTGTGTTGCTATAGCAGCACCTTCAGGAATGCACAACTTGCAAAATGCAAAACAATCCCACATGTTGTTCAGGACCAGTCAAACTAGTTCAAACAAACAGTATTACTTACAGTAATTTAACCTGAATAGTTAGTATTTAACTACCTTGAAACTGTTATCTGTCCTTAAAATTGTCACGCCACTGGACCATTAAAATTCAATACAAAACAATAAAAATAAAAAAACAAGATGATTAAAATGGTGAAAAACTTCAATAAACAGTGACAAGTACCATAAATGTACACTTTCCCTTGTAAATGTTGTGCATTAGCTACATATCTCAGTAATGTTTTAACATTTTTTTTTAATTAAACATTTAAAATTAAATACTAAATTATTTATTTTAATGCAAAAATAGAATGGTACAAATGATCATTTATCATGCTCCTCTACTCTTTCTGTCAGTCTGGCATGGGGCTCCTTTGGCACCTGCATGGGCTCGGCGGTCACAGTTCTAAACCATTACACCAAAACCATCATTGAGTTTAAGTTCAAGAGGAGGACCATTGAGAAGAAACTGCGCATCAAGCAGAAGATCCTGGAGCTGGACATGCCAGAAGACTTATGGTACATCACTTCATTGCAAGAGCAAGCAGACCAACACGCTGCCCTGCATGTGAATGGCAACGAACCATCCTGCTTCAGCCCCACAATACTGGACAACTGGGACAGAGAATACTGTTGAAAATTCATGAAGGGCACTGCTCCTCTTCAACACAGACATTTCTTTGTGCATTTATAATCATACATCATAGGGCTTTGGTTAACAGAGCAGGATATGGACTGAACTAAATTATTTAGCAGTGCTGCTTCTGTTCTGGCAATACTCGCTGTGCTATTGTGAACCTCATTCATATGCTGATAACTGAGGTTTAAAGGAAAGTTCTGAATTAAAAAATAAGTCAGAAATTTTTAAAAAGAAAACAACTACTTTGACAATATCTTGAATTTGTAGTTCTTTTAACAAAAAAATGCAGTGGAGCAGTTTTAAATAGTCACTTTGTCATATGACAAAACCATAAAACAGCAAATTGTCACACAGAAGACACACATTATTGTTCAATGTTTGGGGTTTGTAAGATTTTTAAATGTTTTGAAATAAGTTCACCAAGGCTGCATTTATTTGATAAACAAATATATAGTATAAACTGTTATACTGTGAAATATTATTACAATTTAAATATATTTTAATGTGTAACTTCATTCCTCTGATGGCAAAGCTTAATTTTCAGCAAGTTCTTACCCCATGCAGGTGCACCGTAACGGGTGGAAGGTTAGGACGATTCCAAGGGCCCGATGAGGGAGAGGGGGCCCGGAACGCAATTTTTTGTTATTATTTTTTTAAACATTTTAAAATTAATTACTGCATATTTATTTATTCGAAATGTCATTATTTTTCATATGAACTTGGCTGTTGGTGAATTTTTCAAGCCGTACCACAGTGAGGTAAGGCCGCCATCTTCTGGACCAACATTTCAGTGCCTCTGGCAGAAAGACTCCTTTAAAACAGGCTCCAGTGCCACATTTATTACAGACTTGTGTCAATGCCAACCGTCTTGTAGATACACTTGTTGTAGGATGAGTGAAATCCCTCAGTCTCTTACGGGTGTATGCATGGGTTTCTGGATTAGTTCTGCCTTTGGTGGAATGAAATCGATTAAATTTTACCTAATGTGTGATTCAAGCATATAGCACTTCTTATTAAAAGAATAATTAACCTGACAATGCTCATAATTAACTACCCCTCATATTAATACTCACATAGACACAGTAAAACATGGTACACTAAGTGCACCTTAACTAAAATGTTACTGTCAAAAAAATCTGAAATATCAACATAAATCTCACTATTCCCACAGCTGTATGGTTTACTATGTTAATAGTTGGTGGTCTGAACTGTCAGTTAGCCTACAGAATGATGATATAATAAATGTGATGAAAATAACAGTATTGATTGGACATCCCATTTTAATGATAAATGGAATTGAATACAGAAGTATATCGAGCTTAATATTGAAGTTAACCTTATTTTGACACTAACCAGAAAATGACAAGTATATCAAAAAAGAAAAGAACATAATACCTACATATATGAGGGTGAGTAAATAATAAGCCTTTAAAAGCATCTACACATACTTCAGAACGAGTCCCATCATAGAACTTAATTACAAATTTGAAATGTTATTTTGAAGATTAATTTTAAATATAAACATTCACATGAAAAAACTCAGCTTAAGCAAAAATATTGTCATTTGTGTTTAATTTGTGTTAATTGTCAAGAGTTAAACTCACTTACCGATCACATTGAGTTTTGTTCCTTGGCCGAATACCACAGTGATACATTTCACGCCTTCACTCATACAAAAACCTCCCACAGTTTCAGTCAAGAGACACAGAACCAAAACATGAACTCGAACACAAATTTTAACCCCAAACTCTCTTCTTTACTGCTCTTACAGTGATTAAGTGTCATGATGTCAATAAGTAACTTCATAATCATGCAGTATTTTTTCAGCATGAGGAGCTTGGCTATACAAAAAACTGCTTGTTTGTCATCTTTTTTTTTTACCAGTTGATGTCATTCATCCTTTATTATTGTTCATTTGTAGATGAGGTTTCCAAGATTATTTGCAAATTAATCTGTTGTTAGCACTGAGCAAATCCACTTCGGGAAGGGGACAATATTTTCCAAACAGAAGTGAACAACTGAATTCCTTCACAAAGGGCTCCAATAGGGAAGGGTACATGAGAAGGTCACTTCAAGTGTGTCCTTTACACATTATATTCATGTAGACATGTTTCAGATTCAAACAAAAACACTAATTTTTCTGTTTTATCTTGATCAAAAGCAGTCTTCATATAGTTGATGGTGTGGATTAAGCATATGGTTATTCACTGATAATAAAAACTCTACTGCACCGTAACACTGAAATCTCATTCATGCTTCTTATGGTGCTTTTATGTCCTGTTTGTAGCTGGACAGTCACTGGTCACTTTATTCTTTAATTATAGAGCAGCTTTAATTTAAATTTAAATTAATTTAAAAGAGCAGCTTGGACATTCTGCTAAATGTCTCCTTTTGTGCTCCTCAGAAGACAGAAAGTCCCGTGGGTTTGGAAGGAACTTTTCCTTTAGTGTCCATCATCAGTATGTGTTCATGTTCAGAGTGACTTCATGTCCTTCATTCACTGTGATTCACCACAGCAGGATCCACGACAGATTCTGACAACATAAAAACAACATACTGTACAGCCACAGAAGACTTGTAATATAGCACAAATTATATGGTCATGGTATATTTGTCCTATTTGGAGCTGTTAATAAAAATAAAAAAGTATTTATATCTGTGGTCTAGAAGCAGAAGTGAATGTGAGCAGTGAGGAGGTTTTTGTCATGCTGTACTCACTAACAGAATTGTCCCATGTCTTACATATATAGACTGCAGAATCATCAACATCCACATTATTGATGATCAGACTATAATCTGATGTATGATTTAGATGAATGTGATGATGTGAATTCAGGAGCAGAGAAACCAGATCCATATCTAACTGAGCTCCAGCCATGATAAAATCTTAACACATACTGAGGAACTCCTGCTGGAGTCTGTTTATACCATCTAGCGGAATCAGTAGTTACTGTCCCCAGATTACAATGCAGTTTAGCCGGTTCTCCTTTAATGACTGTGATTAATTAAACTACACACCTGACACCTGACACCTGCAGAATAAACACAACCTTTACATGAGATTGTGTGTCAAAACACTTTAAATCATCAGGTATGATGAAAACTTACAGGTCAGAAGAGTGAAGAAAGCGCAGAATATTGTGATCATCTTGTGATTTGGTGGATGTGACGTGTGAAGATGAGCAGTGCTGTAGAATAATGCTGAGATCTGATCAGGGGTGCGTTTCCCAAAATCAACTATGGTCACAAGTTCTGTATTTACCAATAGAGTTCAATGGAACTTACCACCATAGTTAGCAAACGATGCTTTTGGGAAATGCACCCCAGAAAGAGAAACTTTAAGACAGTAAAGCAAAAGACCTGTCCACCTCATACAACACACGCTCAACACATCTGACACACTCAACATGTGCTTTCACTTAATCACAGAAGGAACACGTGAATCTTGTTAAAGTGGATTTTTTTAAGTTTGTTTGGTTGTTACTAATTTACTGTGATAAGGTTATCAAAACACATTAAACATAACTAATTATCTACATAAAAAAACATGCTGTTTCACTGATAGATAAATTTTTTTTAAAAGTATTTTTAAAATGCTATCCAATTAAACACAAAGCTGATGCTCCTTAAATCACATCAAGAGAACAATCTGTTCACTACTACTACTACTATGAATAATAATAATTATAATTATAATAATAATAATAATAATAATAGCTGAATATAACATACAACAAGTCTTTTCAGTATATCTCAAGATTACTGAGTTACTGGAGGTTCTGGATAAAACTGTCTGTGACTGAATTCCCACATTTAACTGTAAATGAACTACAATGTAAACTAAAAAATAATGAGTTTATATCTCTACAAGAAGTAGACTATATGTAATACAGTAAGAAAAAAAATTTAATAACAGTGAAAGATGACTTACCAGTCACAATGACTTTTGTTCCTTGTCCGAATACCACAGTGATACATTTCATATGTTCAGCCATACAAAACCCTCCTCAGTCTGTGAAGAGACACAAACAGAAGGGAAACACTCACTCAAGCTTGTAACGGTGGCACACTCTAATAAGAGGAATTTGACTGAAACTTAGTTCCTTACAATATTATTTACCAATTACCAATCCGGGCGCCAGGCAGAATTAAATCTACCAAATAGAATTTAAAGAATTCAACCCAGGATAACTGAAACCACCCGTTACCAAAAAAAAAAGGTCGACACAAAGTACACTCTAAAAAATGCTGGGTTGTTTCAACCCAACCATTAGGTTAAATTTTTCAGTTAAATTTTTAACCCAAAAGTTGGGTTAGTCCATATTTGACCGGTTGGGTTGAAACAAACCAGCAATTTTTAGAGTGTAATTGTAACTAACATCAAAGAATCATACCACACAAAAAAAAAAATGTCACTGTCAAATAGTAATGGGTATATTGTTCAAATATAACAAAAAGAAAACAATTTAACAATTTTTCACAAAAAATCAACCCAGTTCACAAATTAACCAGAGTCCTTTGATTAGTGTGTCAGATCATTAGTTCATGGGGAAAAGAGTTTGTTTTCAACAAAAGGTCAAAGAAGTACGGAAATATTGGCTCTCAGTTTCAATAATCACAACATTACTAGTTCAAAATCATCAGTTTCCCCTATATAGAAATTATATAGAAATTTCCCCTATACAGCGGCAAAGTTAAACTACTCTGAAAAGCTAAAAAAAACAGCTTTCAAGTAATGACTCTACATCAGTGTGGAAAGGCCTGAAAGCCATCACCAGCTACAAGACCCCATCCCCCAGCACTGAGGCCAATCAACAACTGGCTGAAGACCTGTACGAGTTTTACTGTAGGTTTGAAAAGCAAAAGACTGGTCTGACACCCCACACCCGCAATGTTGGAGGTGGAGATTGTGCACCTTAAAAAGTGTGTTTCCTGTTGTAATTGCAATAGTTAAATAACTGGATTCTCTTAAGTGTGTTTTTCAAATGTTCTAATGT